AATGAAACAGTGCTTCAACGTGAAAAGAATTCGAGTGAGCATTCTTTGAAGCTATTGGCCGTTAGGGCCTCCACTAGAGAGGCCAGCGCTACGATCGTTTTGACGACACAGATAAGATGCGTAGTTGTAGAATATGACAGCTTTGCGTTCGCGACACCACTTGCATCGTCCCCCATGGTTGCACCGGTTCTTAGTCGCCATTTTACGATGCAAATTAGACACGAGAGTGCTACCGGGGCCACCAATACGTAGTTTGCTTGCCCGTATATGGGGTATTACCGCTTCTTTAAGCACTGAACTTCAAAACAAAGGGAAGCATGCGTGGTGTCCACAGCAAGGCGCAGGAAATGCGGTGTTTCAGCAGACAGTCAACCCGGCATCCTATGAGTGACGTATTCACGTAGGTGGCGCCACGGTATATCCTCGAGGCCAATGTGACGTCAAGAACTTTGTGTTCGTGTACAACGTGCACCAGCGCAGTAAAAAAAAAAAGAAAGTGTGCGCTTTGGAAAAAGATACTGGAAAACATGGTGGGCGTAGTGGAAATAATAGTGGGCATGGTGGAAATAATAGTGGGCATGGTGGAAATTATGATGGCTATGGTGGGACGTAGTGGAAAATATGGTGGTTATGCCGGGACATACTGGGTGGTATGGTGTACAGATGATGGGTAAAGTGGAAATGATGGTGGAAAGCAGAGGCTAGATAGTGGGCAATAATGGGACAGTCTGCCCACCATTGCGATAATGCTGGAAGCCCTAAGCATATGGTGGGTGGTGCTTATAATGGTGGGCTACATGGTGTACCAAGCTGAGAAACTCTTCCCACCATTGCGATAATGCTGGGAAGCACTAAGCAGATGATGGGTGCTGCTTGTTATGGTGGGCCACATGGTGTACCAAGCTGAGAAGCTCTGCCCACCATCGCGATAATGCTGGGAAGCAGTAAGCAGATGATAGCCAGTAAGCAGATGATGGGTGGGCTTATAATGGCGGGCAAATTATATAGTGTACCAAGCTGGGATCTGTACACTACATGTTCTACCATCATGATTTCCACCAAAGGTTAGGCCTACTGACCGAGCCCGTACAATTGTGTTATCCGTGCTTCCGGGTTTCAGAATACACGATTACGACGATTAAGTATGACAATACAGCGCAGCCATATGGCATCAATTAACCTAAATGAAGCATTTTTCATTGTGTATGTTGTTCGCTCAAGAAGCAACAAACATCGATGCGACGCGATTAAAGCACTCCCAGATGTTGTAGGCCCGTGTGCTCAGATTTGGGTGCACGTTAAAAAACCCCAAGTGGTCTAAAGTTCCGGAGCCCTCCACTACGGCGTCTCTCATAATCATATAGTGGTTTTGGGACGTTAAACCCCACATATCAATCAAAGCACTCCCAGAGAACGTAATTTAGTGTCTTCTCACCGACAGCCGCCGGTCGCACTCGCCGGCACTTCTCTAGCTTTTGTACGAGAACTCAGACGTGGCAATTCGTGTGCTTGGTGAACCATTATGATAGCGTAATGTTTCCGGTACACTGCATTCGTTTTGGCCAAGCCGTTATGTAGTTGTTGCTTTAGCGAAAGAGCAACAGCATTGCGCTGGCGCGACCGCCCTCTACATTGCGCGAAAAGCATCCCAATACTCACTCAAATAATTTAGGCGGGCGTATCTATGAAATGAGCCTAGAAGCGTCATAAAGCGTGAGCAGATGTCGCCCTTTAGAACGAGCGCGAAACGGATATTAAACTTGGCAGACCCCGCCGGTAAACTGTTGCTGCTCCCCAGTCCACTTGGTTTTTTTTTTTCCTTTAAGTTGTGAATTGTAAAAAAAATAGCACTAGTGCCAATAACATAGTGGCAATCGTTACAGGGCGCAGTTGCTTGTGTTTAATAAATGTGCACTTTTTAGTAGCAGATGTAGATCTTGTCTATGTTGTGTACACGACAAACATAACTTAAGTTGAACCTTAAATTTGTACGACAACTAAGCATTTAACACGCAACCGCCGTCATGTTGGTGTGGTGCAGTGGTTAGCGTCTTCGAATGGGAATCCGCAGGTTGCACGTTCGATCCTCCGTGGCGCCTTGCTTTTTTTTTACGGGACGGGTGTTTTTTTATACCGTTTTTATAGAATTCTTTTTTATTTTTTGTGGCAGCTCGTCACGGTGATTCTGACGTCATTTTGCGCTCAAGTGTTGCCGGCACTGCAGCACACACCATACCCACCATGCGCCATGGTGGGTGTTTCCCACCATTCACCCACTACATTAATCCACTATAATGGTGGGTGGTGGTTTCCACCATGCCCACCATTCGTTTTTTTCCGATAGGGTGCGCTTTGGCTCTACGCGTTGGCCACACAAAGATGTCGCAACTTCGCAAGGTTTTCCAAAGGAATTGATATTGTGAAGGGTGCTGGTGCCCGCGCGTCTGCATCGAAGAGGTTTTTCAACGCTCATTGAATAATATTAGATTTGGGCCCCGCCGCGGTGGTCTAGTGGCTAAGGTACTCGGCTGCTGACCCGCAGGGCGCGGGTTCGAATCCCGGCTGCGGCGGCTGCATTTCCGATGGAGGCGGAAATGTTGTAGGCCCGTGTGCTCAGATTTGGGTGCACGTTAAAGAACCCCAGGTGGTCTAAATTTCCGGAGCCCTCCACTACGGCGTCTGTCATAATCATATAGTGGTTTTGGGACGTTAAACCCCACATGTCAATCAATATTAGATTTGGGGTTTTATGTCCCGAAACCAGAGTATGATTATGCGACGCGCCCTAGTGGTGTGCTCCGGAAGTCACGACGACATGTGTTCTGTAACGTAAACTTTACATCGCCTAGTAAATGAGCCCCATACCGATTCGCCTCCACCGAAATGGTACCACCGCGGCCGGCATCGAAGCAGATACCTTCGGGTAAGCAGCCGAAGAACCCAGCCGCTACCCTACCACGGCAGACTTAAGCAAGTTTGCGTGCTAACCTATAGCGTCAACGCGGCATCTTTACACTATTAAAAGAAAGATAGGATACTCACCAACTTTGAGGTAGTAAAGTGCTGTCACAACATTCAATACCCAAGTATTACGTGCAGGTAGTAGATTTGAAGCAACACTGTGGGTAATAGACCAGGGACATTTACTACCTCTGGTTGGTTCTGGTCTACTACCTGCAGTTACTACTTGAATATTGCATGTTGTGACAGCAGTTTACTACCCAAAAAGTTAGTAAGTAGCACTACCTTTTAATGAGAGTAGCGAAAGGTGTTGCGATGCAGCGATACTTGTGAAACTGCGTCATACTCTGCCAAGCTCCGCACGGTGTGTCTCGGGCGTACGACGCAGATATCTCGCATGGAAAGGGCGGCTCCCCTCTCTTGGATCCAACAGAGACAGGGCATGAAAACCCGGAAAGAATGGAAGGAAATAAGGCCTTTGTGGTGTACTAACTTTATTCTTGTTCGCGGGATTGAATCCCGGCTGTGGCGGCTGCATTTCCGATGGAGGCGAAAATGTAGGCCCGTGTGCTCAGATTTGGGTGCACGTTAAAGAACCCCAGGTGGTCGAAATTTCCGAAGCCGTCCACTACGGCGTCTCTCATAATCTTATGGTGGTTTTCGGACGTTAAACCCCACATATCAATCAAATTAACTTTATTCTTGTGCGCGTGTTTGCATGCCTTGTCGCTTTTGGAATGAATACGCACCAACAAGCACCATTATTTGAAATTGCAGGTTGTTGAGGTTAACATTACGAGTTTTTATCAGGGCACTTCTTTCCCTTTTAGCAGGGATTGTCCATCGAGTGATGTCCGATATGAGACATTTTCGTCGTTTCGTATATGAGTAGTTGCGTGGATGCACGAAAAAAAAAAGAACGGGCGCGATTGTGATAAGAGCTTTGTTGCCGCCGCGGCTTTGCGTCGCTGATAGCGACGCCGTATCAGCGTTATACGACAGAGGAATGGTATCGCGAACGGGCATGTTCTCTGGATTTGCTTCGTTTCTGTAGCTCACATATGGTGGGCCCCGGAAGAAATCAATGTGCTCTTTTCCCATGCAGTCACACGATAGACCGCTCAATAATGAAACACTCATTAAAGCCATTGGATATATAAACAAGTAGTTCCGCTAGTTGCATTGCTGCAAGAGCCAGTGTGCTTGCCGCTACACCTGATAATCGCGCGCGTGTGTGTTTTGCGCCAGTGTTATCTCTGGCGAACAACGAGCAATTGCTGTTTGATGAGTGAATTATGAGTGTAGAAGCTGTGCCAAGTTGTGCTTTATTTGTAGAAGAGCCAGCACTCCCGGGCAGGATACGTATTCTGGAAGTGGACCGCCATCTCGAGGTGGGTGCTATAATCAACAAGTGCTCGCCTAACCGCAGCACGGGTCACTCGGAATCAGCCTTGTTACAGAGTAGTTATCGTTTTTGTTTCGCTTGCTTTATGAATGAGTGGTAATGTGACATTTTCAGCCAAGTTGTTGGACACTAGCCATATATGCGTCCACATTTTTTCGATGTAGCTCCTTCCGGGTGGTTTAATTTAGATAGAGTCATGCTACCATGGCTGTGTTCATGATCGTGTCAGCAGCGAATGGAGTCAAAGCTGCTACAAGTGGCGGATTAAATTTCATCGTGTGCCTTCAGAACTAGGTAGTCGTGATACATGAGTGTGCATTGGCAGTCATTGTTTCTTCAACAATCATGTTTATACAGGAGCCCATGTGGTGCTCAGAACTTTGGTTTTGACATAGGACGTAAAACATGGTCGCAATGCTGTGTTTATTAGAATTGGTGGAATAGAAGTTTATTGTTATTCTCGTACTTCTGAGAATGCGGCATTTAGTTAATAATTACTTTTTCTCCTGGTCCCAGGAAGTTTGAATTCAGAAGCTTTTACTCTGTGGACAATATCAACAATTTTACCTGTAACTAATCTGTCTTTGTTTGTGGATTGAGGAAAATGGTCTCGTTCGTTTTGCAGCGTCATGCTACTTCGTGGTACATTCCTAGTGACCCTGCTGGGTTGCTGTGCAGCCTCGGGAGTGGTGTTGACGACATACGAGGAAGACAGCTTAGTGGTTGACATTGTTAATGCACCAGCAAACTCAATTATGTTTCTGGTACGGCTTCCTTCGGACGCCACCTGTTGTATGGACACAGAAGCTGCAACTGTAGAACAAGAGCTTGTGATCCAAGTGAGTGGCGTGAAAATAATCTTATCACACGGTTCACTGTGCTGTTTGAAATGAGAAGCACTATCTAGCTGTAGTGGAAATCTCCATGAAGTGTATTGATATGTTTTTGAAATACCAGAACAGAAACGTTAATATAAGGGCCATCTGGTTGGGCCATCTACTTCCGCAGGAACTCGGTGACTAGTGTCGCCACGAGTAGACAGGGCTTTTTACTCTTGCACCATGCGTAACAGTGTTTAGCTAAGCTATGTCATCTAAGAGTGAAGGGGTCTTGAGGGCGCAAATGAAGATGCAGACCCCCTGGTGGATGCCACCTTAAAGGGCCCGTAAACCACCTCCAATATTTTTCAAGCATTTCAAGTAAACACGTGCATGTTCGGAATTGTGTCGCGATCAACGCTCCTGCACGTGGCAGCGCTACGAGCCGCCGGCGCGCCACAAATACCAAGAAACAATCCCTCCTCCTTTCCGGGCCTTTCGGGCCTCCGCGTGACGCGCCGTGCAACATCTCTGGCGCACCCGAGTCATATATGCCAAATATGCTGTCGAGCAAGAGCGTACGACTTCCGGTCAGTCTGCAAGCAGCTTTCCCCGCTGCTTGTTGTTCGTCGTGTTGCCTGCGTGCGCGTCAGGTGCGTGGCACGGCGTGTCACCGTAAGGGTCCATCGCGTTGGCAATCCTTTGAAGGCATGTGCGCAGCGCAGCTAAGTTCTATACCGGCACGATTACGGCAGCCACGGTTCGCCAACAAGCACGCAACTGACGGAGTGGACGGTTAAAGTCGTGGCGACCGGAAGTAGATGGTGTTTAAAGCAGTGCGTCAGCGATGACGTATATATTGGGAGGGGCGTTCGGTGAGAGGAAAAAACGGCGTGGGAGAGGACGCCAGCGGAGAGAAGCATAGGAAGGAGCAAAAGGTGTGGTCGTCATGGTTTCGATAATCAAACGCATCTAACTCCGCTATTACAGCACCGCTTCAAAAAATTCTTGTGGTTGCGTGTTCGTCGTACACTTGTGCACAATTTCCCCACAACAGCTGCATTTCGACCTCTGGGTGGTTTACGGGCACTTTAATAACTGTTTCACCTTGACTGCGCACCAGAGTTTCATACCCGCCTTTTCCTACCCTTGTCATCTTTCTTTCACTCTGCTTAATTCCTGGCCGCTGGGGTTACTCTTCTGTAGGCGATCACTTGATTAAATGATCCTTTGTGTCACGAAACAGTGCATATTCCTACAGTATGTTCTTTGCCGCAACACGAGAGAGGTTAAGTCTGACTGGTTTTCGGCAGTGTTGCCCAGATCTCTTTGCAGTGGCTCATCTGACACGCCTGTGTCACACATGAGGTTTAATATGTTGCTGAAGCTGTGCAGGAGTTTTGTCAGCGAAATTTGAACTACGCTTATATCGTGGTTGGTTTTCGTGGTTGTAAATTCTCGTGCAAGACAAGTGCGAGCCAGCGTGTTAAGCATCGAAACCTTCTGCAAATCAAATACCACAAACCAAGGAAAATCAAGTAGAAAATGACCCAGCACAATATATTAAGAACCATACAATGGTGTTTGTTCTTTGTGTAGTAACATCTTCATGTATTACTTAACCTAAAAATTCAGCCGCGTATCTGCATGCGTTGCTGCAAAAGTCATCGAAAGGACGATAGTTTTCCGTCTGAAGGGTCTTCTTGAGATAACTCTTCAGTCACGAATTAAAATGCGCTTTCAGAAACACGTCAAGTTCATGTGGCATAATTCTAAGGCACTCAGTCCTACATTCTAAGTAAGGCAAATGAAGGGAAGTGTTGTTCCCTGTGAGTTTTGGAGGTTAGTGTTAATGAGTGTGTCACTTATCTAATTATTCTGTTCCCAGTCAGCGTCAGTACTTGCATGAAAATAATTCTCTTTTAGATCCAAAACGCATGCACAGTTTGTTGTTTGGATGTATTTGTTTCGAGTGAAGAAAAAATACTTTTCACGTTGATCTTGGAATGCGTCACGTCGAACAATCGTCGAGTACGGTAGTGCATCCTATAAAGAGGTCATCTCCACCAATACGCAGCATAATGAATGTAAATGATAGGCAGTTGTCCACTAAGAGGCCTGCACAAATGTGCGCACTAAGTTTCAAGCCATTTGATGAAACAAGCGGTGTGTGACGTGCTATTGAAGTTATCGTCTCCTTGTACACACTGTGACGATGATGATGAATGGATATGACTGTAGCCTTTAGATCGGGCGGTGGCCTAGCGCCACCAAGCCGTAATACTTAATGAACCAACAACTAGATTTATTTTTTTCCTTTAAATAGTGAGGTTGAGAATTCGTACTTTCCACTGAAGGGTTCAATTTTCACTCATGCCTTGACTTTAGCCACCAATCATATAACCTCTTTTAGTTAATTCTACCCACTTAAAGTCTATCTTGCCCTCCCTGACCCTAAACCCCAGTGCTTTGAAGAACTCTACGCCATCATCCTGAACTATACGGTGAATCCCTTTACAGAACATTATCAAGTGTTCGGCAGTTTCTTCTTCCTCTCCGCAAGCACTGCATACCGTGTCTACCCTTTCGTATTTGGCCCGATATGTCTTGGTTCGCAACACTCCTGTCTTGGCCTCAAGCAGCAGAGAACTAAGCCGAGTATTATCATAGATCCTTTCCTTGGCAATTTCCTGCTTAAAGTTCAATAGATCTCAAGTGCGGACTTCTTAATCATGCCAAATCTCCACATGTCGATCTCAGCTTGCTTCACCTTCTTCTTAACCAATAATTCTTTTTGGTTTGACCCCCTGCTGTTTTCTAAGTATTTACCAGTCAATTTTCTGCTTCACTTCCTCCATTTGTATCGACACTCTTCATGTACAAGTAGCTGAAAACCTTCCTTGCCCAACGCTCCTCCCCAATTTCTCTCAATCGCTTCTCAAATTTTATCTTTCTGCTAGCTTCCCTGCCCTCAAATGATGTCCATCCCATATCACCTTGTACTCCCTGATTTGGTGTATTGCCATGAGCTACTAAGGCAAGCCTACCTATTCCACGTTGCCGTTAATTTCTAATCTTGCTTGAGCTTCTGATCTCATGCACAAGACTGCATTGGCGAACGTCAGACCACGAATCATGACCCCTTTCCATATTCCTCTCACAACATCATACCTCTTGTAATTCCACAATGCCCTGTTTTTCATTACCGCTGCATTCCTGTTACCTTTAGTCGCCACGTATGTTTCGTGTTCCCTTGGGTACTCGGCCACATTGCTTATCCATACGCCCAGATATTTGTATTTATCTGTTATCTCTAGCGTGACCTCCTGTATTCTGAGCTCACTACCCTCATTGTCATTAAAAATTATGACTGCTGATTTTTCCTTACTGAATCTGAAATCTAACTTATCTCCCTCATTACCGCAGATGTCCATAAATCTTTGCAAATCTACCTTGTTGTCGACCATCAGCACTATATCATCTGCGCACATCAATGCTGGTAGTGCCTGTTCATTCAGTTTTCCTTGTTTGACGAAAAAGAGGTTGAAGCCAAGTCCACTTCCCTCTAATTTGGCCTCTAATCCTTGTAGATAGATCATGAATAACAAGGGTGACAGAGTACACCCCTGCCTAAGCCCCTGTTTTACCTTTGTGGGCTTGGATACTTGTTTTTTCCACTTTATAACTACCTTGTTACCTTTATAGATATCCTTTATTAGATTAGTGACTACATCTTCCACGCCTAGTGTGTCCAGTATTCCCAACAATTCCTCTTGAACCACGCTATCGTACGCTCCCTTGATATCCAAAAATGCTAGTCACAGGGGCCTGCGTTCTTTTTCTGCTATTTCAATGCACTGCGTCAGTGAGAACAGATTGTCTTCCAACCTCCTGTGTTTCCGAAACCCATTCTGCAGTTTCCCCAGCACCCCCTCATCCTCTATCCATGCCTGCAGTCTTTTCTTTATAATATGCATCGCCAGCCTGTGGATCACAGATGTCCCTGTTACAGGACGGTAGTTGGTTTATGTCAGCTTTGTCCCCTTTCCTTTAGATCATGCTCATCCTGCTAAGTTTCCATCCATCGGAAACTTCTCCACCGAATATTATTTTGTTCACTGCCTTTCTCAAAGCCTGCTTAGACTTCGGACCTAATGTCTTTATTAGCATAATTGGAATGCCATCTGGGCCTGTTGATGTACTACTAGGAACCCTTTTCTCAGCCCTTTCCCACTCTCGTTGTGAAAATGGAGCCATTGCGCCACTTGATCTATCCTTGTCTTTTGTGGTGCATAAAGCACTTCTTTGTTGAAACTTTTCTGTCACCCTTGTTCTTATATATTCAATAGCTTCGTCCCCTTCTAGCCTAGCATCTTGGGCTGTAGTTATAAAACTCTGCTCTAGGCTCGTCTCATTTCTTAGGGAGTTTAGATGGTTCCAAAATTTCGCAGCTGCCTTTCTATCTTTTTTATGTACTTCTGCCAGCCACTGAGCTCACTTTCTTCTAATCTTTTCATTGATCAGAAGGGATGCATCCCTTCTACAGCTTAGAAAGGTTTCCCATTTTCTTTCAACATCATCTGTCGGTTCACCCCACTGCTTAGCATGTCTGTGTTCCCTAGAGGCTTCCTAACGTTTTGCTATGGCTCTCTTAACTTCCTCATCCCACCAACTTTTGGGTTTGTGTCTTCTTTTCTGGGGTGACTTGTCACGCGTCTTAGCAAGCTCTAGCTAGAAGAGTCTAATTAGATTCGTGTATGTCCACACTGTCTTATTATCCTCCGTGATTACTTTCTCAATTTGTTTAGTGGCTATTTCAATTTGCCTTTCTGGATAAAAGTTTTCCTGTAGTTGCTCATCTTGTCTCCTTCCCACTTTCACTGCTCTTCCAGAACTTAGCTTGTTACGTTTGTGATCACTACCCAGACTTCTGGAGCCACCTTCGTCTATGTGCATTCCCCTGAGCTTATCATACATCCTATGTGACATCAGCGCATAATCTATCGTCGACTGCAGCCTTC